GGGTAAGAACCTCACTTCTTCAGATGCAAGACTTGTGAGGTTCTTACCCACGAAAGCTTATGCTTCCAATACTTCTGTTAGTCTTAAAGGTGCCACAGGGCCCTCTGTTGCTTTTTACAGTTTGGACCATTTACTTTCAAGACCAAAACATTTCCTAAAGAATGGGATGACAAATAGTGAAGTCCACACACCAACATCAAATATTAAATACCAGGAGCCCAATTGTCCACTGCCCTGCATACTGCACAAAGTAAATAAAATGCTACCAATTCTGAATGACCATTTTATACCCACTTTACACAGGTGTGAATGATAGTAGAGTGTCCAAGACAGTGAAGAATCAGTCTCAAGGACACTTATAGGTAAGAAGAAAGGCAGATATTTGGGGCAGCTCAAGCAACAATGCTCGTCATGAAGCTGCAAGACTACAATGGATTTATGATGAAAAAGTACTGGGAGGTATTTCATCTTGAAACTGATAAAACGCCAAACATTAAACTGACAGGATTCCAGAAAGAGAAAATTAACTGATCCAGCACTAAACCAACTAGTCAGTAATAATCATATCTAACCAGTGAGAGATTCTTCAAAGAAAACACCTGCTTTATTACAGACTGAGCTAGGAGCACCACCTACACTGAAGTTTGTCCGACATGTCCCCATAAGACGACCCCGGTTTTAGTTGTTTATAACTTAGCCTAAATAATTAAAGTTTAGCAATTTCCTATGCCAGGCTTCTGCCTCAGTCTTAATTTTTGGGTGAAAGCTTCAACAAAAATAGTTTGTCTGTATCAAAGAATGAGACTGAAAAAAGATGTTGTTTTGCCCATGTTAAACCCGTACAGCTGTTTTGTTGAAAAGCTCTAGTACTTTCATGCTTTAGAACAGGGACCTGAAAAGTGGCAGGGGAGTGTGGGTCCTGGTGTCAGATGTGCCTTTTGCTGTTCTGGGCAGGAAACTCAAAATTTGGCCACATTATGAGCCTTTGAATAATCTTAGCACATGCTCAGAAGAAACTTCTTAGCGTTTCTCTGCAACTGCTGATTCTGGTAGCACCAGGCAGAAAAAATGAGGAAAGAGATAGTCTGCACTGTCAATGCTCCCCCCACTAGGCCCAGGTATCATGGAAGAAAAAGCAACCTGTCTCAGATGCAGAGGACACAAGACCATGACCTAGGGAAGGGAGTAGATTGGTACAAGGAGCCAGGGAAAGGGTACCGAGACTGGGAGCTAGAGGGGAGAAGCAGAGGGGAGAATACTAAGAAGCGGGGAGATAGAGAGAGAGGTCAGATGAGGAGGTTGGGGGCAGGGGACTGGAACTCACTAGGCAGGAAGACTGAGACAAGGAGCTGGGGGAGGGGAGCGGGAAGAGATTGGAAAGGGGTTAGAGGGGACACAAAACCAAGACCCCAAAGAGGGAGACTGGTAGTCAGGGTTTGGGAATGGGAGGAGCGGGGAAGCAAGTGGAAATCTAATAGGGCGTCTGCTATGGGAGAAAAGGGCTAGCTGTGTCTACACTGCCACCTTCAGCGCTAAAACTTTAGTAGTTCGGGGGGGGGGTGTGGAACCCCCCCTCCCCCCTGAGCGACAAAAGTTTTAGCGCTGAAAAGCGCCAGTATAGACAGCGATAAAGCTACCACGGCTCGTTCAGGGTGGTTATTTTTTTTTATTTTTATTGCCGGGAGAGCTCTCCCCTGGCGATAAAGCGTATCTACATTACCCATGTCACCACGCTGCCGCAGCTGCGCTGTAACGTGGGCAGTGTAGACATACCCCAAAAGTGTGATGGGTGGAGTCGTCGGGGGTTGGGTGGGGTGGGTGTATGGAGATTAGGACTGACTTGATTGAGAGACTGGAACAGAGACAGACTGGAGGTGACAAATGCAGAAGGGTCTGTGACCACTGGAGTATACTCCCTATTCTCGCCTCTAGAACCTGAAATGGAATACAAAGTCTGAGTCTGCTCTGCTACCAGCTGACATCTGTGAAACCCACTGGCAAAACGCTTCTCATTGCCCTCTGGTGCCTTAATCATGAGACCATCCTCCTGTAGTCTTCTACCTCATTCACCACACACCTTCCAATTTCAGCAACACAAGGCAGGGGTCCTACAGACAATTGCCTCTTTTACTACACAACCCTGATTCATTCCCAGAGCAGGTCCCATCCTGTGCACTGTATGAGGCAGGGGTCCTGTGGGGAAAAAATTTAGTATGCAATCACATAATTAAAGACTGCGTCATAATGCAGAATTACTGCTGAGTGAAAATCCCATTTTGTAGCTCCACAATACAGAAATATCACTAGACAGTATCCCCTTCCAAATTTGTATTTAATTCAAACATTTTTTAAAGTCTGGCAGTGAAAATACAACAGGTATAAACAATACCATTACCTAGCCATTAGACCTTTTCCACAAACTTTTGTAAAACGTACAGAACTGTTTTCTTTTAACTGATCCTTGATATAAAATATGAGGAAATCAAAATCCTGTAAACTTAACTATCCAAAAGCTTAAAATGGAATTCAAGTGCATTCATGACCATTATGATCCTTAACCTATACAGATTCCTGGTCTTCACTGATGCCTCACATTTCTTCACGTGACACATAAGAAGTTTGTTTTAATTACATTTGTTACTAAAGCAATCAGTAGAACAGATAGTTAACAGAAAGGTCAGATTCCTTTCTCCCCCTCAACAAATGAGTTACAAGGTTACATAGAGCATGAATTACAACTGCTGCTAAGTGCATCAGGTTACTCCCAACTTGTTATAGCAGGAATGAACCATGACAGTAAGGCCACATCTACACTAACACTTATGTCAGCAAAACTTCTGTCACTCAGGGGTGAGAAAACACACACCCCTGAGCAACGTAACTTCTGCCAGCATAAGCACTCATGTGCACATTACTAAGTCAGTGGGAGACGCTCTCCCACTGAAAAGCTGGTTTTATTATGCCAACAGGAGAACTGTCTCCCATCAGCATAACACTCTTATAAGAGCACTCTTACAGTGGCACAGCTGTATCGGTACAGCTGTGCTCCTATAAGCTTGTAAGTGTAGACATGGCCTAAGCACTTGGCATGGTGTTTTTCAAAACTACTGAACTTGATCATTTTGCTGTCAAAAATTGTCTTTCCTTTAACAAATATTGAGTAAATAGTTTCACATTTAAATATAAAGCATTCTTACCTTTCCAAATTTTCCCTGGCAAGATACAATGAAAGTTTTCCCGAGTAACTACAAGACAACAGAAATGGAAGTAGTCTTCCAATACGGTGGAAGAGAATATCTACGGGCTTGTACACACAGACTTTCATCAAAATAATAATCTGTTTTCATTCACCCTATCATCAATAGAAGCTGAAGCTATTTAAGACCCTCAACCTGAAAGAAAAGAGCCCATGGCCATATTGTGAACTAGTGGCAGAGTCAGGGCCAATTGAATTTCAACCCTATGCTCATTCTACCAGCATGCACCGCCTTGCTGTCAAGAACTGCTGAGCATCCACAACTACTATTTACATCAGCTACAGCTGCGAGCAATCAGCACTTCTGCAAATCAGGCATCAGATGTTCCATGTGTTGGGCAACCAGAAACAAGGAACCGACAGTGGTCAACTGTGAAATTTTGATCTAAATGACTCATCCAGCACACCCTAGAAAGTCTGTGACCCAGCCAGGAATGGAACAAAGTTATACACAATTGGATCACTCACAGCATCCAAGAGCTATCTGCAGTCTCAGTACAGGAATACAGCATTGACTCATTCAGAATG